GGGAGACGGTTTCTGGTTGGCAACTTGGCATCTCAGCTAGATCTATGAATACATCCATCCGCTTGAAATATTGACCCCTGTTTCGGTGCATGCATGCATGCATTTTCTTCAACACCGAAGGAGATGGCAGTCCAAAGTTTATTACTACAAACAACTGTTAACTTCTCATGTGTCTTTGTTGCGTCTTTCAAGCAAGCATGTTCATAACAATCGAGGTTGAGAAAGAGACAAAGGGAATAAAACGATGAATTATATGTGTGTTGGTCTTGGGGAAGAGAGACAATAATATTACTGTTGTTTTCACTATTCAATTTGTTTTTCAAAAAGTTTTTTTGACTAATAAAAAAATATTATTCTAATATATTTTCAATTAACTTTTACAAAAATATTTGCTCCGCATTTCCAAATGCATATTAAATACAAGGAACATGGGATGCGTAACTATAATTTCTTATGATATATTATCCATATTTTCTTTAATACAACTGATCATTAGTATGGTCAACTGATTTTACATAATACTTTAATACAATTTGGATTCGAACATGTATACATGGATGATGTCCTTAAAATATTTTGACCAGGTATCGAGTTTAACAGCAATCTGTTTCTCCTTTGACGAGGATCGAAGACTGGTAGTTGAGCTATAGAAATAAATCGTGTTGTTGCAGTAATTGGATATTCAACTTAGAGAAGTCGGCATCAAATGTGGAAGCAGAGCTTTATAGGGCACACAGTGAGTGCAGAAGCAAAGACATTTTCTCATGGTATAGGGAAGAAGCCCAGCATGGCTGCCCTACAACACAGCTCACCTCCCAGCACAAATGGCTCTCGCTGTCCATCACCAACTTGCAATAAACGGAAGAGAAAGCTGAAAGAGAATAAAGGGAGAGCAAATAATTACACACATCACGTACATTGTCAAACAAAAAGACATGCATGAATAATATCATCCATGCAGAGATGATATTAATTCCTCAAATTCATGAATATAATTTAATATCTCAACTTGTTTAATATATGGAATATCTTTCTTGTTGGGTGCATGTTTTCTGCTACATATATTTCATGAATGTTATTTAAAAAATAGATTTTGAGAAGGATCGATCCTTGAGTTCCTTAAAAGTCACATGAACAAACAGATCTGGGGATGCATTTTACTTCCTTTATAAAAGCCAACTGAATTTAATTACTTACATGTCACGTACGGTACCAGAATTCAAATAAAAAGAGTTTCTTAATTACTTGGAAAAAATAGTAGCTTTTGGTTATTATCCACGGAGACATTAAAAACATAGAAGCTATATTTCCTCGTATTTTAAATATATTTTTAGTTTTAAAAGTGTATAAATTCATTTTAATAGGATTATCGTGGTGAGAATTTTATTTTATATATTTTTTCTTTAACTAAATATATATTTTAATTTTTTATATATATCATTTTTAACTTGAAACACTAATAAATATAGATGATATTCATGAGTGTAATTGTGGTTGTTTTTTAAAGTATTTTTTATTATCAAAATAATATTTTTTATTTTAAAGAAATATTTTTAATATCAATACATAAAAATAATTTAAAAACACTAAAAGTTTATTAATTTTAAATAAAAAAATAATTATTTTTAAAAATTAAGAAAACGCAATTTACATTGTGTTCCCAAGTGTGTTTATAATCTATAAATTACTATTCATTAACTATGATTAACAACATTTTAAAAACTAGAGATATAGCATGGTTTATGCATGCTATGCTATTGGAATTGCTATTGATATCTTAAATAATAAGGGCTATGGCCTATGGGCAATCTAAAGATTGAATTATGAGGTATTTTTTTGGAAGAATTGAATTATATGAGGTATTGATTTGTCATCAGAGGAGGGGTGGGCGACAAGTTGAAGAACTTTTGTCAAAATTACTCACCTTTTAAATTAATGCTAAGCTAGAGAAGAAAAGCACAATGTGACATTGTAACTACTCGATTTGATACAATCACATGAGCTATATATTTCATTACCATAACCCAATCCTTCTAATTTCTATGTATTTTAGTTTATACTATCTACCATATTGTATTGTTAAAATCACACTTATATTTGGCTAGGGTTTTTTGATTAAAAAAACAATAGATATAAATAGAATAAAAACATGTTTGGTTAAACGAAATAAAAAACAATTTTTTATTATTTTAAAACATGAAAACATGTGGTATCTATCACTAATATTTTCATATTTTTTTTACATCAAGAAAGTAATTAAACGCAATCCAAAATAGTTGTTCTCTAAGCTTCACCTTGAAAGAAGTAAAGTGAAATGGTGCAAGCATGAATTAACTAGAAAAGACGTTGAAAAGACATGGAAGAATAAAGAAACCCTAAAGAATGGAAATCACCAAGTGTGAGCTACTGCTCATTTTCTAACGTTTCTCTATCTAAAACAGAACTCAAAGATCATGAAATCTTCTTCAGCCACACTATTATCCATGTGAACTTATTGAACATGTGAACGTGGTCTCCATTTCAACTGCTTGTGGTCCCCTGCTACTGTGACAGTAGTTATTTTTTTAATTTTTTTAATTTCTATATATTGAAATAATATTTTTTAATTTATTTCTAATGTTCTTATATTAAAATAATTAAAATAAATAAATAAAATAAAAACACTTCTAAATCATAAAAACAAACAAGTGATTGTTCTGCTATACCCGATGGTTACTTTCAACTTAACTTTTAGTGGCTTAACAGTTAAATAAATGCAGAAGGATATCCAAGGTCAAAGATTGAAAGGATTATGCAGAGAGGATCCTCTAGCTATAAGTTAAAAAAAAAAAAAGGAAAAGTAAAGGTGAACCCTCACGCCTGCACAGTCTTCACTGTGGCGGCCATCCCCGGTAGAAGACATGGAGCTCTTAAAAGAGGGTACCGCATCCTGTAAATGAACCTTAATTAACGGGCCTAAGCTTAGCTATTAGCACTCTATTATCTCTTAAACATAAAAGTTCAGCTAATTTTCACTGCATTAAATCCGACTGGCTCAAGAATTCATGAGGTTGATCAAAAAATTTAGCTGAGTACTGTCCGGCGAGTACGGTTGTTAGGGGCTAGACATAGGGTTATGGACCACAAACAGTGAAACGGGACTGCCCTAGCAGATATGATAGGCATTTTATTTAATAAAATATGATAACCCTGCAAATTGGGATTTTATCACCGAGGCAGTTCCCTTCATGCCATGGTGGTCGTTGAATTTTTCGAATGGCATCTTCATCTGCATTAGTTTAAGAGGTTGACCCAAATCATAATAAAAATATTCATTTAATATTCGAGTTTTTTTTCCTTAAAAAAATCATACATTTATATTCTTGTAAAATGTTTCTTTCAATTGCATATTTACTCCACGTTTAAATTCATTTTCAACTAAACCTTGCAAGGGATTATAAGCTAACTTAAATTAATCTAAATTGATACTTTTTAATTTTTTTATTTAAAATTAAAATAATATTATTTTAATTTTTTAAATTAAATTAAGTTCTGATCCTGGCTGCCTTGTTTGTAGTCAATTAAGCTAATTTTCATCCACTTCTATTTAAAACTTTGATGATGGGTTCATAGATCATTCAATTAACGTTTACAGCGATACTGGATTTCATAACAATCTTCATAAATAATCATAGCATTCCGTAGAAATATAGTTTTTTCAAGGAGACTTTTTGTAGAATTCAAACATGAAGAAACAAGAAAGAAGGAACATCTAAGGAACCCTAGTCACTACTAATCCTGAATCACCGTGTCTGGGGTGCGCAATATGAGCCATCCACTGAGTGGGCCACTACTTAAGCATCTGTGATTATCATAAGTTGATCAGAGACGCAATCCTGTAGAAGATTACACGAGATGCCTGCAGTGGGCCCCTACCACATGGGCTACGAACGTATGTCGGTTGATCAAAGTCTCCGTTTTTTTCGTTTTCTTTATCAACTTTTCCTCTAAAAAGAAAAATTTTCCCTTTGTATCTTACAGAGTTGCTTGGTAGGTGATTATTTTTAAAATATTTTTAATTAAAAATATATTAAAAAATGGTTTTTGTATTTTAAAATTAGAAAAATCATATTTTTTTGAGAATTCCAGTTAAAACAGAGACACTTAGCCCTGTGATTGCGGTGATAGCTTGAAAATGGCTGGTCTTTGTGCTGGGAATGAAAAACAATCCATGAAGGGACAGTGTGAAGATTTTTCTAAACCCTAGAAATTGAAAGAATCGATTTGAAAATATTCCAAAAGGGGCAAGAACTTTGGATATTTTTAATGAACTTCTCTTCTTTATCAAAGTGCATGTCAATAGATATGAACTAAAACAAATTTGATTTTTTAAGTGGCATGTATGGTGGATAGCCTCAGGAGTACTTGAAATGGTACCAAACCGACGTTTCACATGAAAACAACATTAAATTTTTCATGTTTTTTTTTTTTATATGAAACACAGTTCGCATCGAAGAGCATACCGGGTAACCAAACTAACTCTAGATGTAAATTCTTCTAGAACTACAAGATGATGAATGGTTCGAAGTTCGAACCTTTGTAAACACTATCAACACTCATGATCTAGTGAGAAAAAAAGCAATTGCTAAAATGTTGTTACAATTTGAAGCTGGAGAGGAGTTAGTAAGTGCCCAGCTGCCAAACAGAGATCACGGCAAGAGTGATCTGGTTATCTGGGCCAAGAACCAACTGCATATTTTTGTTATTTTCTTGGAAGAAAGTCTCTCATGGGATTAAGGAAATGAGATGGGTTGGTTTTTTTTCATGCCAATATATTTCTGACGAAAGATTCTTCGTGGCTGTCCGTTAGGCACCATTTTTAACAGTTTTAACGGCCAAACTGGCTAGAGCAAACTCAAGGATAATGCAGCTCGAACTACTACAAACAGAACCCTGAAATCAAGTGAAAAGTGTAATGCTATGTCTGTGCAAGCTCCTGCATGGAAAAGAGAGACAGAGAGTGAGTAAAAAGGGGAGCAACCCCGTTGTATTTCCTTACATTAGTTCTTCTCCCACAGGGTCCAATATTAGTGGTTGGTAAGAAACCCCAAACCACTGTTAGGAGGAAAATCTCGAACTCCAAGATTTTTACAAACCTAAACCCAGATACTTATAATATTTCGTGGGTTATTTTTGATCAGTCAGAGTCACTGTCAAAAGAGGTAAAAAAAATTACAAATTTATAAGAGAAAATTACGCAAGAGAAGCAGGAAAGCAGCTTCATCTCTAGGTATGTCATGCCTTAATTTTCTCTTAACAAACCATATATCGCCTAACCCTGATGCAGCTTTCTCCTAGCTCAGTATCTGATCAGAATGGACTGGAAAACAACTTCTTCACAAGGAATGGTAAGGCCCATATCATGATCAAACCCGAACTCTTCTTCTGCTTGTTGAAGCAAAGTCTGAAACTCGGGACTACTCAAGATAGAGATGGGCACAATGTATCTGCTTCTGTTTTCACCGACATATACAACAAAGTGACCCTTTGGGACGTCCAAAGGAAGGCCTTCTTGGTCATGATACCCTTGTTTCTTTCCCAAGCTTGAGCACCTCTTGAGGATCTGCCTGATAACTGCTGTTTGAGGCAGCCTGTTTGATTTCCTGATGGCCATTTCTTCGGAAAGTGAAGTTTGAAAGAGAGAAGAGTGGCTTTGGCCTTAGAGCTGGGGTGAGAGAGAGGTGGTCGGGTAAGTAAAAAGGTTGAAGGGATTGTATGGTATTTATGGCGAGACTTAGAGGCAGAGAGAGAAGCATTGTCATGTGGGGTTGCGGAGGCAAAGGATAAACCACGAGTGTTTTTGGAGTCTGTGTGACCATAAGGACATGCTGGGTGGTTGTCTAACCCATTGGGTTTACAGCCCCTTCTTGTCCTTCCTCAGGACATCATGGTCCCCCTCTCCATGTCTTGGCTTTCTAGTAATTTTGGTTTCGACTGTACTTTCTATTGCAAGTTGCGAGAAGCACCCCTCCAATTTCCTATGCTCCCTGCTCTCTGGTTGTTCGTTTCCGCGGAGTCACCATAACAATTATTTTTTAATTATTTTTAATGTGTTTTAATTTATATCTCAACAAAAAAAAAAAAAAAATTGGACGAAATCGTTACCATGCTATTATACAAACTACTTTACTGTTCTGGGCAGACATTGAGCGTCAGGTAAAAAGTGGACACAATGGAAACATTCCTGCAATAGAATTCTCAGTTTTCTTGTCGAAAGCAATTTTATTGCTCGAGATAACTTCCATTCATAGCTTACAGGCTACCTGTTTAACTCTTCTGTTTGGACGTGGGAATATCAAATATTGTTTTTCCTCGCTTTTCAAGGATACAGATTTTGCACTGTTCCCTCTTACGAGCGGCTTGACACGTTCTTCTATTTTCATGTTTCGACATTGAAATTTCCTCCCCGCTGGTAACTTTGACTTGACTGCTCTTCCGCCCTTTCTCCAGTATAAAGTTCAGGAGTAATGTGTGACCACTTTTTGAGTCTAGTATTATTTTAAATACTTCACTTCTCTTTAACTTTTTTAAAATAATTAAAATGGTATTATTTTAAGTTTTTTTAGATTAGATTGATCAGGTTATTAATTACCAAATTTAATTTTGAAATCTAATTCGAAACATGTTTCATGCTATCATGTTTACCCGTCTTGTTGAACCACGTTGGGAAATCCAGCAAACTTGGTTTAAAATATATGTAGCAAGTTGTGAGATCGAATCGTACCTTCTCATTTCTGCATTGTCCATGGTTCTGTGATCAATAAGAGCTGTACTGAACTGTACCACAACTTGCTGCTGTGGGTTTCGTTCATAATTGCTAGGCTTCTGATTCTGTGGATTGAGTAGCAGATTGAGGACAGTAATTCACATGTGTATACCTGCTATGGCTTTCCCTGCAGGGTGTAGCCCCTCCCTCCACCCATAGCAAATTAAGCATACCTTGCATTTACTCTCCTTAGCTAGTTTAAGGAATTTAGAAATATATTCGAGAGATGTTTTGGTTGCTTTTGACGATTCCTTTGGAGTGAATTCACTCCATCAAACCAATACACTTATGGCCTTCTATACATTCTAATGCTATGTCAAGGGTGCGTTTGTTTAGTCTTAATTTTTGTATTTGTGGTATAAAAAATATAACTAGATATTTGGTAATACACCAAACTATAAAATAAATCCTATTAAAAAAAGAAGTTTGAAACACAGTTTTTGTAAAATTATTTTTACATATTTTTTAACTAAGTTTCATAAAATTCTATTTATTTTTATATTTTAAAATTATTTTTTATATTTTCAGATTATTTTGATGCACTAATAGCAAAATTAATTTTTAAAAAATAAATAAAATATTTTAATGCATTTTCAAATAAAAAACACTTTTGAAAAACAACATCAATAAATATTTTATACATATTTTTTTATTATATATAAATTTTAATTATAATTTCTATCAAACGTATTTAAATCTAATTAATTACACCTAACCATATTTTTAAAAAAAATTATTTTTTAAAACCATAATCATCAAATTATCCAAAAACAAACACACTTTAAATAATTAAAATGTACTCTATAGAACCAAGCCACCATAGAGATTGGACAAATATCACTCATGTTATTTATATTGTTTTAAAACTTGATTTAACCTTTTGGTTTAATCTATAATATACGTTTAGATCAGATTTTCTTTCAATAACAATAAAAATACTTAATCTGATTAAAAATTCAAGTTAATCAATCAACTCTGGAAATACTCTGTCACCATGTGACTAAAATCCATTACTTCATATTTGAAAACTATAATAATTAGTTTTGACTTTGGTAACCTTCATCTACTTTCATTTTATCATTAAGCAAACACGGATTGGATGCTTTAACTAGAGAACAGAGTTAGCCGCAACCACAATTTTTTTCTAACAACACTGGCTTGTTCAGCAGATAACTAATTAAGGTGATGAATACACACCAATATACTTAAATTCAAAGAAAGCGAACGAGGCAGTTCTGAAGAGTTCCTTTTGTTGCTATCTGTAATAAATGGCCCCAAGCTAAGGCAATAGACCACAAAGCCGATGATCCTCTCCTTCCCCAGCTACGCGTGGTGCTGTAAAAAATAAAAATTGAAGAATCTTCGTACGCTTCTTGAATGGAGGCAGCAAGGTCCCATTAATTTGTCAACAATTCCCATCAATGTTGTAATTTTAAGTCCATCCTTTATACTCAATTCACCATCATGATCAATTGCACTATGGAAGGCTGTCTCTTTTTTTTTCTTTGCTCTGCCTTGTAGCATATTTTAGCATGGTTGATCAATCCCATCACCTAACATAACCGATCTTTTTGCTTAAATTTACCTGTTTTAAATAATATTAAATAGTTTATATAACATATATTTATTGTTTGGAGATAAAAAAACAAAAAATAAAATTAACAAGGATAGAAAAAATGTATATCTATTTACTGTTTTGAAAATATATAAATTTATTTTACAATTTTCCAGAGATATAGTTACATGTCAACTCGTAAATCTCTCAAGTCAAATATGATCTCATCTCTTATGTGTTGTATATTATATCTCTGGATACTATCCAAACCCAACCCGGCTATCACTTCACATGCACATGCTGAATTCACATGAAGAAGAGAAAAATCTTATGCAGGTGGGAATTTAAGGGCGGGGGAAAATTTTCCTTCTTGGTGAAATAAAATGGGAAGGTTGGAGATGGGGCAGGCAGAGCCCGAAATCTCCTAACAGTTTTATATATAGTGTTCTTGGATCAACTCCTGTCAATAGCAGACGGGCTCCTTTCAATAAGATGAATCCATGAAACAAGATGTAATCAATGTTGTAAAGCAAAAGCAGTAGAGAAAATGAGGTTAAAACTTAGAACCCTAGCTATTTCAGTTGGAACAGTTAAGGAGGGGCGATTAGGGCCCTAAAAAATGTGCTGGTAAAGAGTGTGTTCAAAGAGCTACGATGGAAAAGGAGGCTCTTTGAAAAGCTATACAGCATACTACATTTATTGCCTTCAGGAAATTTAAAAGGACTTGGCATGTGGTGGTCCTCCAATTAATAATAGACAGCACAGCAAAACAGGAACATAAATAATCATACTCAGAAATAAATAGGAAAAAGAAACGAGAGGCAAGTGGAATACGTCTCTCTAGCTGGGCAATGAGCCAATGATGTAGAATAGCTTAGTCCCCATGTTCTAAGAACCAGAAAACTTGCCATTCTACCAAATTACAGTGTCTTAGAGCGCGTCCGGCATTGCGAATAAAATGCAAATTTCAAAATCTTTTTATTTAGAATTGAATTTTTTTAGTGTTTTTCTTATCATTTTAAAGTGTTAATAGCGAGAACAAATTTTTTAAAAAAATTATTTTAAATAAAAAACACCTAAAATAAATCGCTTCAGAATTAGAAACAAACTCACAGTGCATGCTTAAGACGGCTACTGTCCGGCCCTGTGCTGTCTCTCTTTCTCTTTTTGGGTTTTTATCATCATGGTAATGGTAGCTAGTACAACGACAGTACCTCTTCTCCTTACGGCCGTCCATGCATGGTTGCTTGTATGGTTAAATGTCTACTAAATTATGAGCATAAACACTTTGTCGTGGTCCTTTACAGGGCTTCTTGAGAAAGAAAATGCCCGTGATACAGGCTATAGCTATAAGCAATTCCAAGAATTTGGTTCAGAAAACAGGAAATTTGAGTGGAAGATCCATAAATCTTGCTGATTTAGTCCTTGATAAGTCAATAACTTGTATAAAACGGCCGAGTTGATACGAGGGTCTTATAATTAATCAATGACTTGACTAATTGGTCTAAATCTTTTCTATTTACTCTACTAAATGTTGCCGATAATGCTTGATTATTGAGGAGGATTTGAAGATGAGTTGAAACAAGAACTGGGCCGTGAGACTACTCAGAGTCTTCAAGGAAAGCCATCCCCCATGTTCTGTGAATGAGATTAGCTGGCGAGAGAGAGATAAAAACAGAAAAGTGGGTCCACCATTATTCACTGAAAAGCAGTGACTATTGATGGTTATTAATCCACCTAGGCAAATTCTAGGGTAGAAAATGACCATCTATTTTAAGCTAAGCACATGAAGGCCATGTTACTTTTTCCTTCGATACCTCCTGTGAAGACAACATTGTAAGGACTTTTAGATGTCACTGCTAACTGCTTTACCTACATTACTCAGCAAAACATCTCTCTGAGGTTCCGAACTGTCCAATTTGGATCCTTTACAAATGGGTTTTTTCTTACTACATGCTTTCCTGTACAGATTATTCATGGGATATAACTGAGGAAAGCATGCGAAATAATGGGTGGTGAGGCATTCTCTGCCAGTGTAAGCCACGTCTACACGTTCATCCCACATTCTTACTTTCATTTTTTTTTTTTAAAAATGAGGAAAACCATGAGGAGTAGGACGTGAGTTGATCCAAGAAACTAAATCGACAACAATAAACATTCTTAGGGCTAAGAAAAGGTTTGGCATGGACTACACAAACTATTATGGTATATATGATCAGAACCTTAACAGTAAAAACCATATAAATGTAGATATATATTGCCGTGGTATGGCCCTAGATCACTACATATGATCATAAATTAAGTTCACTAATGTTGTAACAATTTTGAAACCACTAACGAAACTGATAGCCGCACCTCTCAAACCTAACTTGAAAATTAAATATATGTGTGTGAAATCATCAAGGAAAGGAAAATTGTATTGGCCCCCACGACAGCTGAGTCCCAGAAGCAAGAACCCTAAGGACTTCACGGATTTGTACCTCAACCTT